AGGAGAAACTGCTGGACAGAGGATCTAAACTAAGGATGCCAAGAATAACAGGATCAAAGGAAAAAAAAGATACAGAGAAAAGTGAGGAAAGACACAGCTAGAACCAGAAAGTAGACCTTTTTTTTTAACAGCTTCACTCAGATATAATTTACAGACTATATTTTAAGCACTAACAAAAATAACAGAAGCAGCAGCTCTAGAGCTGTGACGCCAGAAGTATTCTCACCAATGCCTTCCCAACGACAGTTCAAAAAGTTTAACTTAATCTAAAAATGAGCAACAGAAAAGATCACACTCAAATCTCACAGAAAGTAATTAGGAAGGAAAAAAAGAGGAAACAGAATAAGCTGGGGGCAGTGGCACATGCCTGTAATCCCAGTTACTCAGGAGGCTGATGAGAGAGGATCCCTTAAGGCCAGGAGTTAGAGGCTGCAGTGTGCTATTACTGTGTCTGTGCCAAGGTACTCCAATGCTGGCAACATGGTGGGACCCTGTCTCTTAAAAAAAAAACAATTTTGGCAGACACGGTGGCTCATGCCTGTAATCCCAGCACTTTGGGAGGCCTAGGTGATCATTTGAGGTCAGGAGTTCTAGACCAGCCTGGACAACTTGGTGAAAACCCATCTCTACTAAAAATACAAAAATTAGCTGGGTGTGGTGCTGGAGCCTGCAATTCCAGCTACTCTGGAGGATGAGGCAGGAGAATCGCTTGAACCTAGGAGGCAGAGGTTGCAGTGAGCTGACATCACACTACTGCACTCCAGCCTGGGTCACAAAGCTTGACTACATCTTAAAAATAAACAAATAAATAAATAAATAAAAAGCAGATTATCTCCACAAATAAAGTGATCTAGAAAGGCTCATCCACAAAACAAATAAAAGCATACCATTTTGAATGAACTCAAACATATATGGCTGGGCACGGTGGCTCACGTCTATAATCCCAGCACTTAGGAGAGCCGAGGCAGACGGATCACTTGAGGTCAGCAGTTTGAGACCAGCCTGGCTAACATGGTGAAACGCCATCTCTACTAAATATACAAAAATTAGCCAGGTGTGGTTGTGTGTACCTGTAATCCCAGCTAGTCTGGAAGCTGAGGCATAAGAATCGCTTGAACCTAAGAGGAGCAGGTTGCAGTGAGCCGAGATCTTGCCACTGCACTCCACCTGGGTGATAGAGTGAAACTGTGTCTCAAAAAATAAAGAAATAAATAAATAAATAAGAAATAAAATAAAATATATGTATATATCATATATTGGCTTGGCACAGTGGCTCTCGCCTATAATCCCAGCACTTTGGGAGGCAGAGGCAAGTGGATCGCTTGAGCTCAGGATTAAGAGCAGCCTGGGCAACTTAGAGAGATCCCATCTCTACAAAAATGAAACTTAGCCAGGCATGGTAGCACGCACCTGTGGTCTCAGATACTCAGGAGGCTGAGGTGGGAGGATCACTTGAACCTGGAAGGTGAAGGTTGCAGTGAGCCAAGATCATGCCACTGCACTCCAGCCTGGGTGACAAAGACCCCATCTCAGAAAAAATAAAATAAAATAATATATATATATTAAATATATAAAAAATACATAAAAGTTTTTAAAATTATATACACACACAAACACAGATTTTTTTTTTTTTTTTTTTGAGAAAAGGTCATACTCAGCTGGGTGCGGTGGCTCACACCTGTAATCCCAGCACTTTGGGAGGCCGAGGCGGGTGGATCACGAGGTCAGGAGTTTGAGACCAGCCTGGCTAATATAGTGAAACCCTGTTTCTACTAAAAATACAAAAACTAGCAGGGTGTAGTGGCGCGTGCCTACAGTCCCAGCTACTCAAGAGGCTGAGCCAGGAGAATCGCTTGAACCCAGGAGGCAGAGGTTGCAGTGAGCCAAGATTATACCACTGCACTCCAGCCTGGGCAATAGAGGGAGACTCTGAGGCCGAGGCGTGGTGGATCACGAGAGGTCAGAGTTTGAGACCAGCCTGGCTAATATAGTGAAACCCTGTTTCTACTAAAAATACAAAAACTAGCAGGGTGTAGTGGCGCGTGCCTACAGTCCCAGCTACTCAAGAGGTTGAGCTAGGAGAATCGCTGAACCCAGGAGGCAGAGGTTGCAGTGAGCCAAGATTATAATACTTCCTGCACTCCAGCCTGGGCAATAGAGGGAGACTCTCAAAAAAAAAAAAAAAAAGGGGGGGGGAGGGGGTCGTACTCTGTCACCCAGGATAGAGTACAGCATCATGATCATAGCTCACTGTAACCTCTAGCTCCTGGACTCATGAAGTTCTCCCACCTCAGCCTCCCAAGTAGCTGGGACTACAGGCACACACCACCACCTCTGCTAATTTTTTTTATTTTTTGTAGTGACAGGGTCTCACTAAGTTGCCCAGGCTTGTCTTGAACTCCTGGGCTCAAGCAATCCTTCAGACTTAGCTTCCCAGAGTGCTGAGATTACAGGTATGAGCCACCATGCCTGCTAAAAGAAAAAATTTTAATGCTACGGCAAAGAACAAAAATCAAGAAAAACTTTTCAGTTTTTCAATGAGATAAAATAAATCAAGAAAGAAGTAGAAATAAAAGATAACTTTTCACAAATGAAGACTATACTAGAAAGAGTAAAAGACTGAATAAACACAACAGATTTCTTAAAAATGGGAAATTTTGAGGCATGTGTAGTGGTGCATGCCTACAGTCCCAGCTACAGGAGCTCAAAGCTATCAAGTGCCATGATTACATGTGTGAATAGCCACTGCACACCCATGTGGGCAACACAGTAAGATCCTGTCTCTTAAAAAAAAAAAGATAAATTTTGAAAACTGAATAAGGAAAAAGATGAAAAAGATTTGATGTGACATGGCAGATTCAAAAAAGAGAGCCAACACATGCACAAGAGCCCCTAAAGAAGAAAACCAAAGCAACTGGAAAACCAAATGCTAAAAATTGTAAATCAAGAAAATTTTGCTGAAACTTAAAAAAAATACATATGAAATTACAAATTGAAAGTGAACACTGTGTACCCAGAAAAACTGACAAAGAACACCACCAAAATATATTCTAGTAAAACTACTGATTTTTAAAGGAAATCACTTAGAAAAAAGATTTTAAGAAAATCACATAAGGAAAAAAGATTAGACTGGCATCTCACTTTTTATAGCGATGCTTTGTTCCAAAAACAGTAAAGTAACATATTTAAGACAATGAAGGAAAGAAAATGTGAACTAAGAATTTTATATACAGCCAAAATAATTTTCAGGTATAAAGTCACATATAAGATATTATCAATAGGCAGTACTGTTTCCATAAGCCCTTTCTCAGGAATCTACCCAATAACAAGTCACAAACAACAAAAATGACTGGAGACACTGACATAAGGACTGACGGCACTGATTATTAGTGGATGTTAGCACCACAAAAAGAACTAGACATATATTATCTCCTGCCAGAAGTACACCACCTATGAAGTAGTTCTGCCCTAAACAAACAAACAAACAAACCTGAATATTCAGAAAATATAGAAGACAGAGGAACATGTTAAATGACATCATGGGAAAGCAATACTCTAGATTTATGACAATGTAGTTTCTTAAACAAAAAAAGCTATAAAAAATACATAAAGGAGAAATCCATATACAAAAAGCAACTTAATAATCACACAATGTAAAAATCTTATTTGGACCCAGATTCAAGAAAACAAACAATAAAAGAAAATAAACATTTCTAAGACAACTGATAATGTAAAATGAATATTTTGAAATATTAATTTTTTAGAAGTGATAACCGTATTGTTGGTTTTTCTGAAAATCCTTTTCTTTTAGAGATATATACCCAAACATTTATGGATATAATAACATGTTACCTAGGGTTTGCATAAAAATAATTCTGAAAGAGGAGGTATGTTAGCATATAGATAAAATAATTATTGAAGCTGGTGGATGAATACACAGGGGTTCATTACATGATTCTATCAACTTTTGTACATGTTTGAAATTTTCTATAAAAGGTTTTTTTTTCCTTTTTCTTTGAGATGGAGTCTCACTCTGTCATCCAGGCTGGATTGTAGTGGCACAATCTCAGCTCACCACAACCTCCACCCCTGGGTTCAAGCGATTCTCCTTCCTCAGCCTTCTGAGTAGCTGGGATTACAGGCACCCACCACCACACCCGGCTAATTTTTATATTTTTAGTAGAGATGGGGTTTCACTATGCTGACCAGGCTTGGTCTGAACTCCTGACCTCAGGCGATCCACCCACCTCGGCCTCCCAAAGTGCTGGGATTACAGCCGTAAGCCACCGCACCCAGCCAAAATATATTTTTTTAAGAAAGAAAAAGACACATGGATTTAGTATTCTGATTTAGTAATTTAATAAAAATTTGTAGTTTTGTAACACAACTCTAAAATATTACTCTCTCTTACCCATAGAAATTCATTTTGTTTCAACTTTTATATTTTCCAGATCACATTTTCAAAGTTTAAAAAAAAAATGATAACATCTGATAGAGGTCAGGTGTGATGGCTCACATCCGTAATCCCAGCACTTCGACAGGCCAAGGCGGGTGCGGGGGCCAGGGAGTGGGGAAGGCGGGGAATTGCTTGAGCCCAGGAGTTCAAGACCAGTCTGGGCTACATGGTGAAATCTCATCTCTACAAAATATGCAAAAAATCAGCTGGGCATTCTGGCACGCACCTGTAGTCCCAGCTACTCAAGAGGCTGGGGTGGGAGAATCACCCGAGCCCAGGAAGTCAAGAATGCAGTGAGCCATGATTATCCCACTGCACTCCAGCCTGGGCATAACAGGGAGACCCTGTCTCAAGACAAACAAAACTGATAAAATCTATCCTGACTTATCAAGTCACAGGATTACAGGTGTGAGCCACGACACCCAGCCTTACAACTCAATTTTGAGAATGACTATCAAATCTAGTCCACAAAGGACAAAATAATTTTCGTTCAGTGATTCATCCCCATAATTTCAATTACAGAAAGCATGAAAAAAAGACTTACCTGTTTTATGTGTGGATTCATGGCCATTTCAGTTACATTCTTTTTGGTCTCACAGAAAATAATAGCCCTCCCTTCAGACCCACTGTAGACTTGCAGGACATCTCCAATAACTGCTGGCCTCTGAGACCAATGACACTGGATGGCCAAATGCTTTGAAGAAAGAAAATATCATATTATTTGTTTCATTAAAATTATTTTAAAATATTTCTCTTGTGTAGTTTTTCTATCCGGTCAAGAATTAGCCTTCCTGGGAGACTGTAAGACAAAGACTCTCCTCAACAGCACTTAAAAACAATATAGACAATTGGACATCAATAAACTGATGAAAGAATAAACAAACTGCAGTATATTCAAACAGAATACCATTCAACAATTAAAAGAAACCAACTACTGATATACACGGAACAATATGAACCTTAAAAAAAATGCCAAATAAAGTCTTAACAGAAAATGAGCACACACAGTATAATTCCATTTATATGAAGTTCTAGAATAGGCAAAACCAATCAATTGCGGAAGAAAAATCAGAACACTGGTTGTCTCTGAAGCGGGGATACTGACTGGGGAGAGGCATATGGGAACTTTCTGGGATGATGGCAATATTCTATATGGTGATAAGGGTTTGGGTTACACACATATGAATTTTTCAAAAATAGGCAAATGTACAAAGATTTTGCATTTCATTGTACATAATAAAAATAATAATATGAATGAACCTCAAAAACATATGCTAAGTGAATGAAACGACATAAAAAGTCACATATTGTATGATTACATTTATAGTCACGCGTTGCTTAATGACAGGGATACGTTCTGAGAAATGTATTGTTAGGCAGCTTCATCATTATGCAAATATCACAGAGTGTACTTACACAAACCTAGGGTATAGCCTACTACACACACCTAGGCTATATGGTATGTCCTATCGCTCCTAGGCTACAAATCTAAACAGCATGTTACTGTACTGAACATTGTAGGCAATGGTAAGTATGTGTGTCTCTCAACATATCTAAACACAGAAAAGGTACGGTAAGAACATGGCATAAAAGATAAAAACTGATACACCTGTATAGGACGGCTCCATTATAATCTTATGGGACCACCATCGAATATGTGCCACCGTATATATGGTCCATCGCTGACCAAAACATTGGTATGCAGCACATGACTGTACACGAAATATCCAAAACAGGTATATCCATTGAGACAAAAAACAGACTAGTGATTGACAGTGGATAAAGAAAGGAGGGAATGGAGGCTGGGAATGGTGGCTCACGCCTGTAATCCCAGCACTTTGGGAGGCTGAGGCGGGCAGATCACATGAGATAAGGACTTCAGACTAGCCTGGCCAACATGGCAAAACAACATCTCTTCTAAAAATACAAAAATTAGCCGGGCATGGTGGCGCATGCCTGTAGTCCCAGCTACTCAGGTGGTTGAGGCAGGAGAATCACTTGAACCTGGGAGGTGGAGGCTGCAGAGAGCTGAGATCATGCTTTAATTTTTTAATGATATTAAAGAATTACATTGCACTGCAGCCTGGGTGACAAGAGCAAGACTCTGTCTCAAAACAAAAACAAAAACACAACACAAACAAACAAGAAAACCCACCACATCTTTGAGTGGTGTTAACAGTAAAAAGAATAAATAAATAAAAACCACAGGGATGCAAATCAGCAAAACAGACTATGGGAAACTCGTAAGACAAATGAGTTTTTCTGTTGTTATTGTTTTTTTCTGAGACAGAGTCTCACATTGTCGCCCAGGCTAGAGTTCAGACGCACGATGTCAGCTCACTGCAACCTCCAGCTCCTGGGTTCAAGCGATTCTCCTTTTTCAGCCTCCCAAGTAGCTGGGACTACAGGCACGTGCCACGGTGCCTTGCTAATTTGTGTATTTTTAGTAGAGATGGGGTTTCATCGTATCAGTCAGGTTGGTCTCGAACTCCTGACTTCAGGTGATCTACTGGCCTCAGCCTCCCAAAGTGCTGGGATTATAGGTGAGCCACCGCGCCTGACCAACCAATCAGTTTTTTCAACAGAAAATTGCAAAGAAAAAATAGGAACTATAGATTATAAAATGTTTAAGACTCATATCAATCAGTAGCAATGTAAGAATTCTATTTGGATCCAGATTCAAACAAACTATTTAAAAAAGATAGCAAGGGCAATGTGCACACTAGGTATTTAATGACATTATAAGCATTACTATGCCAGTCGCAGTGGCTCATGCCTGTAATCCTAGGACTTTGGGAGACTGAGGTCATGAGTTCGAGACCATCCTGGCCAACATCATGAAACACCCATCTCTACTAAAAATACAAAAAATTAGCCGGGTGTGGTGGTGAGCACCTGTAATCCCAGCTACTCGGGAGGCTGAGGCAGGAGAATCGCTTGAACTGGGGAGGCGGAGGTTGCAGTGTGCTGAGCTCACACCACTGCACTCCAGCCTGGGCAACAAGAGTGAAACTCCATCTCAAAAATAAATAAATAAATTACTGTTTTTCTTCTACTGTGATAATGACTGTGGTTTTAAAGAGTCCTTAGTTACCATTTTACAAGAATATACTATTACTTGAAGATGAAATGACTGGGATTATTTCAAATGCAGGGGTGAAGAAAAGATCATTGTTAAAGACTAGTAAAAGGTAATGGGTACATCATGTTCTTTATACTATTCAATCTTTCTATTCAATTTACTATTCAATATGTTTGAAAATGTCCTTATCAACTTTTTTTACTGGTACATTTTACATTCTTACTGCAAAACTTTCAACCATTACAAAATATACAAAGCTTCTTATTTTTTACTCGTTTTTTTTGAGACAGAGTCTCAATCTGTTGCCCAGGCTGGAGTGCAGTGGCACAATCTCGGCTCACTGCAAGCTCCACCCCCTGGGTTCAAGCAATTCTCCTACCTTAGCCTCCCGAGTAGTTGGTACTACAGGCATGCACCACCATGCCCAGCCAATTTTTGTATTTTTAGTAGAGATGGGGTTTCACTATGTTGACCAGGTTGGTCTCCATCTCCTGACCTCATGATCCACCCGCCTTGGCCTCCCAAAATGCTGGCATTACAGGCATGAGCTACCATGCCTGGCCCACAAAGCTTCTTTTGACCATCCAGCACTCCCTTTCCCAGAAGTAATCATTATTTGATGTTTATTCTTTCAACCTGTTTTCGCATATTTACATAAACGCCTAAGGAATCCATTTAGCACTTTGTGTATTTTTTTAGATAGTAATTCTTAACCACTGCATTACATTCTGCAGATACTACTATTCACTTAGTCACCTAGTCTTTCCTACATACACATATATATGCATCTATTAAATAGAAAGATGACATATGTTACCTAGTTGACTGTCATAAATACTGTAAATATTACTTTTTTTTTTTGAGATGTTGTCTCACACTGTCACCAGCCTGGAGTGCAATGGCACGATCTTGGCTCACTGCAACCTCCGCCTCCTGGGTTCAAGCAATTCTCCTGCCTCAGACTCCCGAGTTGCTGGGATTAGTTGCGCGTCACCACACCCAGCTAACTGTTGTATTTTTAGTAGAGACAGAGTTTCGCCATGTTGGCTAGGATGGTCTTGATCTCCTGACCCTGTGATCTGCCTGCCTTGGCCTCCCAAAATGCTGGGATTACACACGTGAGCCACCACGCCCAGCCCTAATTCTTTTTTTAAACATACCATTGGTTTAACTTTCAAGGAGTCAAAATTATAAACCTTTTCCCTCATGGATTCTTCTTCTGACTTCTCTGGGCTTTTTTGAGACAGGGTCTCCCTCTGTCACCCAGGCTGGAGTATGGTGGCGCCATCTCAGCTTACTGCAACCTCCACCTCCCGAGTTCAAGTGATTTTCGTGCCTCAGCCTCCCAAATAGCTGGGACTAGAGGGACCCACCACCAGGCCAGCTAATTTTTCTATTAGTAGAGACAGGGTTTTACCATATTGGCCAGGCTGGTCTCAAACCCCTGACCTCAAGTGCTCTGCCCACCTTGGGCTCCCAAAGTGCTGGGATTATAGGCATGAGCCACCATGCCCCACCCAACTTGTATGTTAGAAAAGCATTCCCTCTCCTGAAATCAAAAAACTCTTTATTCACCTACATCTGCTTTAAGTTGTTTTACAGCTTAATTTTTCAAATCTTTGAGAAATGTTTTTGGTTTGGGGGAATGGGATGAGGATCTAACTTTTTTTCACCTCACCTTTAACAAATTATCTCCACACTATTCTTTTCTAGTCAATATAAATAGCCTTGTCATGTTGTAAATATTTTGTTGTTTTTTGTTTTTGTTTTTTGAGCTGCTTTAAAGAGAGAAAGAAACACTTCAAATCTGTCTCTATGGCTGCTTGTGTGTTTCCTATTAGGACTTGCCTATTCATGTGCTTGTTTTCCCTCTATTTATTCTATTCTGCTACTCAGTCTCAGACTATAAAAATATATAGGTATCTTATTAACAGCAAAAAAGAAAGATTAGGCCTGAAGAGGTACCCAAAACTTAAGTTTAGCTTCAACAAATGTCAAAAGTAAATACCAACTAAAAGCTAAAATCTATCATGCTAGAAAGCTACTTACTTCCACAGTAGTTGCAGCCTTTTGAGTCATTTTTCCAACAAGGTCAACCTGCTCATATCTGGATTTCATGTATTTTTTTGCAACTTTGTATACCCACTGTGGGCAAGTTGCAGAAAAAAGTAAAGTCTGAGGATTGTCTTCAGAATCTTAAATAAACAAAAAGAATTCAAATGTTTTCTTAATTTCCCACGATGTAGCCAGCTTTTAAAAATTCCCCCAAGCTTCAAAAAAATAATGAAAAATTTAAAACTTGGGGTGAATTTTTAACACAGAGACTTCATTGTAATTATTAAAACTTTCAACTTGCAAAACTGGGGGACAATAGGAAGAGAACTGAACCTAAAAGGAAGGTGAGAATTTAAGAAGGAACAATGAACAAAAAAATCAATAAAATGAGTTAGTAAATCTAACCACTGACTATAAAAAAAAAAACCACACAATAAAGCATAGAAAGCTAAGAAAATAGTTAAAAGGATGCTATCATACTTTCTTTTTCCAGGACAGAACAGATACCAAATTATTTTAGTTTTGTTAGAACACAGGGGACACTGCAATAAGAATTATTAAATAAAAACTCGTTTGCATTTAAGATCGAAGAATAATTGCTAATGTGCTTATTTTGAATTAGGATATACCAGTTTTGTAGGATTCGTGAATAATATCTTCAACTTGTTCAGCAAAACCTAAATCTAACATTTGATCCACTTCATCAAGCACAACATGTCGCAGTTTAGAAAGATCCAATCGGCCACTCTGCAGATGGTCTTTGATACGACCAGGGGTTCCAACCAAGATGTCAATACCATTTCGAATATGATTAACTGTGAGAAGAGAGAAATGCCAACAATTGTAAAATTCACACTTTCACATTATTTACTTAAATATAAGTACCAAATAAATCTTTGCGTTTCTATCATACATATTTACTCACTTTGGCTTTGATATGATGTTCCACCATAAAAACACGCCACACTGAGTTTCCTAGTTATATCTTTGAAGTCTTTGGCTACTTGGTTTGCCAGTTCCCTTGTTGGAGCCAAAACAAGTACCTGAGCAAGAGGTTTAAAAAACAAAAAGATACTTTTCTAAAGACATATCTGAATTAAAACCGAGAAGACTTTTTGTAGGTGCATTTGAAACCAGGAATCTCTACATTAATGTCATAGTATTTAAAGATACAACACAAATAGCAACAAGAACAGCGGTGTATATTTATTATATCCTCCCTTACTTCCTTCAGGTCTCTTCAGTAAGGTTTCCAAGCCCATTTTCATATTCCCCTGCCCCTTTATTATTTCTGCTCAGCACTTACACCACCCAAGATACTGATATTTTACTTATTTGCGATTGTCTATCTCACCCGATAAAATGTAAGCTCCATGAAGGCAGGAATTTATGTCAGGTTGGGTTACTGTATTCCTTGCACTTCAAACAGTGCCTGGTACAGTACAGGAAACTCAAAAATGTTTGATAAACGAATGAATGTTCACCATGTGCTAGGAACTAATGCTTTACAGGAATTATCTAATTTGATTCTCATAAAAACCCATGAGTGGCATTATTACACCATTTTCATAAATGACAGACTCGTGTCTCAGAGAATTAAAGTCTTGCCCAAAATCAAATACCTAGAAATGGTGGAGCTGGAATCTCCAGTAACATCTTTCTAATACAAAAGTTTTTTAAGGCAGCTTTGGGGCCAGGCATGGAGGCTCACGCCTGTAATCCCAACACCTTGGGAGGCCAAGGTGGAAGGATCACTCAAGGCCAGGAGTTCAAAACCAGCCTGGACTACACAGTGAGACCTCCAACTCTACAAAAAATAAAAAATTAGCCAGGTGTGGTGGCACCTGCCTGTAGTCCTACCTACTGGAGAGATTGAGAGGAAGAGAGAATTGCTTGAGCCCAGGAGTTCGTGGTTACAGTGAGCCATGATCACCCCACTGTACTTCATCCTGGGAAACAGAGTGAGACCATGTCTTTTAAAAAAAAAAAAAAAAAAAAAAAAAGCCAGGCGCGGTGGCTCACACCTGTAATCCCAGCACTTTGAGAGGCCGAGGCGGGTGGATCACAAGGTCAGCAGATCAAGACCATCCTGGCTAACACGGTGAAACCCGGTCTCTACTAAAAATACAAAAAATTAGCCGGGCATGGTGGCGGGTGCCTGTATTCCCAACTACTCCAGAGGCTGAGGCAGGAAAATGGCGTGAACCCAGGAGGCGGGGCCTGCAGTGAGCTGAGATTCCACCAAGGCACTCCAGCCTGGGAGACTGAGCGAGTCTCCGCCTCAAAAAAAAAAAAAAAAAAAGGCAGTGTTGAGATTATATCCTATGTCCTATTTCAGTCTTTTCCTAATTTCACCCCAAAAACATAACTCTCCAAAAAGATTTATCCTGTAAGTCAATACAGCCAACCTGATTTGGGATAGTTAATCCAAGACTATTATGATTTAATTATATTTATATATGTTAATTTGCTCTTCTAATACCACTCAGTTGTCTTACAAAGAACAAATTACTTTTAGTCATACAACTATTCATATTATGATGCTGATTTTCTTCTTCACTTTTACAAACCTTAAGTGCACACAGCTTTTTAGGTCAAATTTTAGGCTTACATTTTACAAGTCCCCTCTGTCGGTTGATTTTACATTTATAAAATAAGAAAGATGTCTAGCACCCCAATAATATATAAACAAGCAATATCATTTCAATAATACTCTTCTTAAAAAGTCCATCTGGGCCGGGCGCGGTAGCTCACGCCTGTAATCCCAGCACTTTGGGAGGCCAAGGCGGATGGATCACGAGGTCAGGAGATCAAGACCATCCTGGCTAACACGGTGAAACCCCGTCTCTATTAAAAGATACAAAAAACGAGCCGGGCATGGTGGCAGGCACCTGTAGTCCCAGTTACTCGGGAGGCTGAGGCAGGAGAATGGTGTGAACTCGGGAGGCACAGCTTGCAATGAGCCAACATCGTGCCACTGCACTCCAGCCTAGGTGACAGAGCGAGACTCCGTCTCAAAAAAAAAAAAGTCCATCTGTGTGTACTCACTTCAGCAGCACATACACTAAAATTGGAATGACACATAGAAGATTAGAATGACCCCTGCACAAGGATGACATGAAAATTCATGATGCATTCCATACTAAAGGGAAAAAAAGTCAACACTGAAATAAATGATGCTGAACATTTACTGAATGACAAATAAATGAATACCTCTTTAGAAAATTCATTTGTTTAAAAGCAAAGGTCAGGACTGAAAAAAAGAGAAGAAAAGGCTCAACTAAATATATAAACTGTAAATAAGATATACCAGCTTTGTAATTCATGAAATTATAAAAGTCATCTATGGATCCATTCACATCACATTCATATGCAAAAACTACTTCATTTTAACTATGCTTGAAATTTCTTTTTGTGAAAAACAACGTATTTTTGCTTTATAACACAGTGTTAACTTTTCTATCTTGGGGGTACTAGAACTCAGGACTGGTATAACTTTCTTTCCCTTGCTGTTAGAGTAACATTTAAAGCTTTTACCCCCTATAATGATTACCTTTGGTGAGCGGCTTTTTTTAATTGTTTCTTGATTTCTTTGGAGTCTTTCAATTAAGGGGATGGCAAAAGAGAATGTCTTTCCTGTTCCTGTCCGTGCTTGAGCTATTAAATCTTTTCCTTCATATACAGGACCAAAGGTCTTAACTTGAATAGGAAAGAGATATGTTACCCCTCGACCTGTAAAATGAGATTTAATTAACATACTTCTTTACGACTAGCATTAGGAAAAAATATATTCATTTGAAAATGACAATCATGATTCTTCTACGTCTGCCTAAAGACATACCTCCTGGTGACACAGCTATTCCTACCACAAACAAGAATTACTAAAAAATTAGTCTAAACTTTTGACAAATGCATATAAATTTTAAAGCTAAAAACAAGTCAGAATATTGAAAAGGATGATGTAAAAGTAACTGCAATTAAAGAAGAGCTACTTCTCCATTCTTTTTATGTTCTCCTTTTGGTCAGAAAAGGCACAAAAGTTTTACAAAATCTAGTGATAGATTTTTAATTGCATATCCATTAAAACTGCATACCTTTGGGCCAGCTGTGCTGGCTCACGCCTGTAATCCCAGCACTTTGGGAGCCCAAGGCGGACAGATCACAATGTCAGGAGTTCGAGACCAGCCTGACGAATATGGTGAAACACTGTCTCTACTAAAAACACAAAAATTAGCCGGGCGTGGTGGCGTGCGCCTGTAATCCCAACTACTTAGGAGGCTGAGGTAGGAGAATCACTTGAACCCAGGAGGCGGAGGTTGCAGTGAGCCAAGATCGCGCCATTGCACTCCAGCCTGGGCAACACAGCAAGGCTCCATCTCAAAAACAACAACAACAACAACAACAAAACCACATACCTTTCAGAAGCTTTATAGTCTCTTCAGAAATAGGAAAATTGGAGAAGGCTCCTTCTTTCTGTTCACGTGTTAAGGTCTGTAAAAATGAAATCAATGGCCTGAATAATATAATTTATATTCAACTCTTCTTCATTTACTGTTTTTAATTTTGTACAGATTCACTTACAAGGAAACCTAGTGGAACACTCTTTTCTTTTTTTTTTGAGACAGGGTCCCACTCTGTTGCCCAGGTTGGAGTGCAGTGGCACCATCACAGCTCACTGTGGCCACAACCTCTCGGCTCAACCCCCTCCCACCTCAGCCTCCCAAGCAGCCAGGACCACAGGCGCACGCCGCCATGCTCACTTACTTTCTTATTTTTTGTAGAGACAGTGTCTCACCATGTTACCCAGGTTAGTCTTAAACTCTTGGCCTCAAGAGATCCTCTTGGCCAGGTGCAGTGGCTCGCGCCTGTAATCCCAGCACTTTCGGAGGCCGAGACAGGTGGATCACCTGAGGTTAGGAGTTCAAGACCAGCCTGACCAACATGGAGAAACCCTGTCTCTACTAAAAATACAAAATTAGCCAGGTGTGGTGGCGCATGCCTGTAATCTCAGCTACTCGGGAGGCTGAGGCAGGAGAATCACTTGAACCCAGGAGGCGGAGGTTGTGGTGAGCCGAGATTGCGCCATTGCACTCCAACTGGGGCAACAAGAGCGAAACTCCGTCTCAAGAAAAAAAAAAAAAAAAGAGATCCTCCCACCTTGGCCTCCCAAACTGCTGAGATTACAAGCATGAGCCACTATGCCCAGCCAAAAAGGTTATTTATTAATCTAAATCATACAGATGTAGACAAAATTATAAAGATTAACACAAGCCTATAAACTAAGCTAAAAGAAATTACATAATGAGGAATGTAAAGTTTTTCTGAAAATAAGTTAATTTATTCTATAGCTTTTGAAAGCTTTTTTATTTAGGTTGCTAATACAAGAGAAAATTACTGTAAGTTTGAAGATTTCTTTAACATATATACAAGTTAGCATGACATTATCATTTAACATTTATTGAAAACTTTGTACACTAATGTGTACACAGAACAAAAACAGTATGCCTACCCAGTCAGCTTTACTGTTCATGTGTTTAAAGAGACATATACTAACAATTTTCAAACTTGGAGTTAGATAAAAAATAATTTCAAATTCAAATTGCATGCCATTTAAACAAACCTCAAGGCTGCTGTTACCTTTTTATGATTAAAAAAAAAATGACAAAAATAATACGCTGTTGGCCAGGCAGGGGGGCTCATGCCTGTAATTCCAGCACTTCGGGAGGCCAAGGTGCTAGGATCACTTAAGCCCAGGAGTTCAAGACTAGTCTGGGCAACACAGTGAGACCCTGTCTCTATCAAAAACAAACAAACAAACAAAAAATAAATAATACACTGTCATCGTAGAAACTTTTGAAACTGGCAGGGCCGAGTGGTTTATATCTGTAATCCCGGCACTTTGGGAGGCCAAGGCGGCTGGATCACTTAAGCCCAGGAGTTCAAGACCAGTCTGGGCAACACAGTGAATGAAACACCATCTCTCCTAAAAATACACAAATTAGCCAGGCTTGGTGGTACATGCCTATAGTCCCAGCTACTCAGGAGGCTGAGGTGAGAGGATCATCTGAGCCCAGGAAGGATGAGGCTGCAGCAGTGAGCCATGATCGCACCATTGCACTCCATCCTAGGTGACAGAGTGAGACCTCATCTCAAAAAAAAAAAAAAAAAAGAAAAGTAAAGAAACTTTAATAACTACAGAGGAAAGACAAACAAATTTAAAAGTTATTTATAATCCACTCAGCTAAAGCCACATTTGAAACATACTCCTTCAATCTTCACTCTATGCACATAAAATTTTTTAAATAGAAATAAAATCACACTGTATATACCATTTTATAATCTTCTGTTGTTGTTGTTGTTGTTTTTGAGATGGAATTTCGCTCGTGTTGCCCAGGCTGGAATGCAGTGGTACGATCTCGGCTCACTGCAACCTCTGCTTCCCAGGTTCAAGCAATTCTCCTGCCTCAGCCTCCCAAGTAGCTGGGATTACAGGCATGTGCCACCACACCCAACTAATTTTTTTGTATTTAGTAGAGACGGGGTTTCACCCTGTTGGTCAGGATGGTCTTGGAACTCCTGACCTCAGGTGATCCACCTGCCTCAGCCTCCCAAAGTGCTGGGATTACAAGCGTGAGCCACCACGCCCATCCAATTTTTATCTTTTAACAAGATACAATGACTACCTTTTCTATTGTAGACCCTTTGGGATAACTGTATTCTATTACATAACTATTGTATGTTTTATTTAAACCAATTGTCTACTATCAGACATTTAGGATGTTTAAATATTTGCTATTATCAACAATATTACTGTGATAAGAGTACTTATTCATAAAGCTCTGCACACCTCTTGATCATCTCCTTAGGATAAATTCCTTTAAGTAGAATTCCTAAACTCTCATGTGATCTAAACAAAATAATAAACTGTTAAACCTATTATAATACAGATTTTACCAAGCAAAATCCCACCAAAGCGAGAAGCAAGCCATACATTCCACTGTTAGCAATACAGATTTAAAGGACCTTATTTAGATCAACAAACACATGTGCTTCCTGACAAACAGCAAATTCACAAATTAAAAAAAAAAAGTCAAAAGTCATAAGACAAGGATTCAACATCTTTTCCCAATGCTCCCCAAAGATTAGGCATTAAGCTCAAATGTGTATCAGCAATTATCATATTTAAAGAATATAAAGAATTACTAATTATCAACCTGGGGTAGTGGCTCACACCTGTAATCCCAGCACTTTCGGGAGCCGAGGCAGGTGGATCACTTTGAGGTCAGGAGTTCAAGACCAGCCTAACCAACATGGAGAAACACCATCTCTACTAAAAATACAAAAATTAGCCAGGCATGGTGGTGTGTGCCTGTAATCTCAGCAACTCGAGAGGCTGAGTCAGGAGAATCACTTGAACCCTGGGGCAGAGGTTGCCATGAGCCGAGATTGTGCCATTCCACTCCAGCCTGGGGAATAGAGTGAGCCTCTGACTCAAAAAAAAAAAAAAAAGAAAAAAGAAAGAAAAGAAATTCAAGTAGGTGACCATCAAGCAATTCAGAATAACTTTAGGAACCCAAATGTACAGAAAAGGTTTAAATTTGACTATTTCTCCCATCAGGCCCCAAGAAAAAAGTCATACAATGAAATAAACAAGGGCCAAAGGAAAAAAGACTCAGACTTCACCTGTACAGACTCTCTAATGTAACTAAAAGTAAGCACTAGACACTAATCAAGAAATATTATATAATCAATTATAATTAGCCTAAAAAAATCAACCTATAGTTCAAGTATAATGTCAAATGCAAAATAAAAAGCATCCATACCTCCTCTAGTTTATTATCACTTGATTTATGAGTAGAACTATCTAAGGATGATACTCGCTTTGATTTTTTTTCATATTCATCAATATCTCCATTTGGTAGATCTTTTCTTCTTGACTTATGAGATTTAGAGAATTCATCTGAAAGTCTATTAAATCCTTCTTCAGTGTCTCCATTTAGCTTCTCTTTCATTTTAGTTTTTTTGGCCTTGGGAGCATCCAGGTCATCTGTAACACCATTTTCTCTTGTTTCTGATTTCTCATCCGAGTCATAATGGTGCCTTGACTTCCTTCTGTCACTCTGTGAACAAACAAAGTAGCAATGACAAGATGGTCAGAGGTTTTCTTTTAAGACTCTAGAGAAGTTAGTGTATGACTCCCCCACCAGTTCAGTTCAATCTACAGTTACTTTGAAAACCTACCTGGTAAAAATCCAGACTGGTTACTAATGCCAAGCTCTAAGCCTCAACTATTGCTATTTTTCTCATCCCATTCCTAGCATTCTCAAGACTCATCCTCTAGCCCCTCTCTAATCCCTTCATAAGATTTAAGGAAAATTAAAACGGTTTCTCCTTAGGGAAAGAAAGACAACCCCAGAATTATAAACACTAAACAAACAAAAACTTGCAACATTTCCAAGAGAAAATAATTAATACTTATTGAATACCTACCCAGCACTGTGTAATGTGTTTTCAGCTTATCTTGTTTAAATCTTCATAACAACCCTATAAGGGAAGTACAGGTCCATAATCCCTTATCCGAAATTGCGATATCCATAAAGCTCTGAAAACCGAAAGTTTTTTTGTAACTTATTTGGAGGCAAAACCTTACCTGAGAACTCATTTGATGGCAAAATTTAACTTGAACTAATGTGAGGCTCTTTATAGTCTTTATTTATCCTACTTAGTATGACTACTCATATTTAATATTAAGGTGTTTGATTACAGGTTTTGGGCCCCAAACCCTACCTGGGTGTTACCCTTCTAAAAATCCCCAGAATTCTCAATTCCAAAATACAACTAGTTCCAAGGATTTTGGATAAGGGATAGTGAACCTGTATTACCTTTGCCATTTTATTTATTTATTTTTGAGATAGAATTTTGCTCTGTCACCCAGGCTGGAGAGCAGTGGCGCAATCTTGGCTCACTGCAACCTCCGCCTCCCAGGTTCAAGTGATTCTCCTGCCTCTCAGCCTCCCAAGTAGCTGGGACAACAGGCGTACACCACCACCAGTAGAGATGGGGTTTCATCACGTTGGCCAGACTGGTCTCAAACTCCTGACCTCAGGTGATCCACCCGCTTCGGCCTCCCAAAGTGCTGGGATTACAGGCGAGAGCCACTGCGCCCAGCCACCTTTGCCATTTTATAGACAAGGAAACAGAAGCTCTAAGAGGTTAAGCAACTTGCCAAAGATCCACATGTGGGATTTCCTGCAGCTCTAAGTACTAGAAATTGAATCTAGCACTGCCTGACTTGAAAGCCCAGTCTCTTTTCACATTATACTTCCTCCCTGCACTTTGACAATTCACAGGTTAAAGGAAAACGAAACAAAACTATATAATTCATACAGAAGTCCAATTGTTATACCTCCATGGAAGGACAGTAACCCCTGGAATTTTTTTTTACTTTTTTAATTTAGTTTAAAAAAAAAAAGCACTATTCTGCAACTTCAATTTTAAAATGCCAAACTACTGGTCAGTGTTGTGATATTTACAGAACACAAGAAAGGATTTGGGAATTTAGGACTTTAGCCTGGTGGCTAGCTGCAGTGGCTCACGCCTATAATCCCAGCACTTTGGGAGGCCGAGGTTGGGTGGATCACCTGTGGTCAGGAGTTCGAGACCAGCCTGGCCAACATGGTGAAACCCCATCTCTACTAAAAATACAAAAATTAGGTAGGTGTTGTGGCACACGCCTGTAATCTCAGCCACTCTCAAAAAAATGAATTACCTGGTCAAATGTTCAAAACAGATAGCAGTGACTAGTGACAGTAAAAACTACCACCACCAAAATGTTCACCATAACTTACACAACTTTTAGAGTTCTTTCACATATAATTTTCTCATCCATAAAACTAGAATTGCTGTGAGAACTGAACAATATGTGTGAAAATGCTTTGCAGTTACACATTACATCATCTGATTGATCTACAGTTAACTGCACTAGCCCATATCTTTCCAAACCAATAGGTTCTACAGAAAAACAAAATTATTTATAGAGTCAGCCTTGGGGCTTGAATTGCTCCTGGGCCCTGCACTTCAGGGAGAAGTTGAAGCAAGGCAAAGTGAAACCTCTCGGTCCAAGCCCAGTAACATCTCAAGGTGATTAAATATATTATTCCACTTTAGACCCACAATGCTTGGCACTCTCCGTTTACTTGGTTTCAGTTACACTTTATATTCCCTTCTTACCTCTATCTTCTTACCTCTACCACATATCTTCTTCAATGGTTCCTCTCCTTCCTCCTCCAGTGGATGCTCCTTGAGTATCTGTTCTCTATGTTCACTTTTATTACTATTTTCATGGCTCAACACATACTTCTAGACTCCCTTCCTCACCTACATTCCAATTCTAAGAATCTAAGGACCAGCTCCATATCTCAACACATCCAAACCAAAGTTATCTTCATCTCAATACCAGACCACTATTTGTTTTTGTTTTATTTTGTTTTCTGAGACAGGTCTTACTCCATCTCCCAGGCTGGAGTGCAGTGGCTCAATCATGGTTCACTGTAGCCTCAACCTCCCTGGCTCAAGTGATCCTCCCACCTCAGCCTTCTGAGTAGCTGAGTCTACAGGCACGCGCTAAAACGGCGGCTAACTTTTTTTTTCTTTTTTGAGACAGAGTTTCGCTCTTGTTGCCCAGACTGGAGTGCAATGGTGTGATCGTGGCTCTCTGCAACCTCTGCCTCCTGGATTCAAGCAATTCTCCTGTCTTAGCATCCCGAGTAGATGGGATTAACAAGCGCCTGCCACCATGCCTGGCTGGTTTTTTTTTTTTTTTTTTTTTTTTGAGACAGAGTCTTGCTCTGTCGCCCAGGATGGAGTGCAATGGTGGGATCTTGGCTCACTGCAACCGCTGTCTCCCGGGTTCAAGCAATTCTTATACCTCAGCCTCCTGAGTAGCTGGGATTACAGGCACACACCACCACACCCAGTTAATTTTGGGGTGTTTTTTTTTTTTTTGAGATGGAGTCTGGCTGTGTCACCCAGGCTGGAGTCCAGTGGCGCGATTTCGACTCACTGCAACCTCAGACTCCCAGGTTGTTCATGTGATTCTCTTGCCTCAGCCTCCTGAGTAGCTGGGATTACAGGCGCCTGCCACCACGCCCAGCTAATTTTTGTATTTTTAGTAGAGACGGGGTGTCACCATGTTGCTCAGGCTGGCCTCAAACTCCTGACCTCAGGTGATCCACCTGCCACAGTCTCCCAAAATGCTGGGATTACAGACGTGAGCCATTGCACCTAGCCTTTTTTGGTATTTTTAGTAGAGATGGGGTTTCACCATGCTGGCCAGGATGGTCTCGATCTCCTGACCTCATGATCCACCCACCTCAACCTCCCAAAGTGCTGAGATTACAGGAGAGAGCCACCACGTCCGGCCTAATTTTTATATTTTTAGTAGAGACAGGGTTTCACCATGTTGGCCAGGCTGGTCTTGAACTCCTGACCTCAGGTAATCCACCTGCCTCAGCCTCCCAAAGTGCTGGGATTACAGGCATGAGCCACCGCGCCTGGTTAATTTTTTCATTTTTTGTAGAGACAGGGTCTCTATAAAACTCTACCTAAACTCCTAGGCTCACGCAACCCTCCCATCTTAGTGTTCCAAAGTGCTAGGATTACAAGCATAAGCCACTGCGGCTAGCCACCAGACCAGTATTCTAATGCTCCATTTCTTTTAGTTGGTATTCCAATCCGTTTCCAAATCTCTGGTTATCTTTCATAGTTAAAGGGCTGTCAACACGTATTTCTGGAGAATTTACAATGTGAAAGCCACCAATTTACAATACAGTGAAACATAAGGATGGAAAACGATTGGGTCATTTTCCTCAAGAACTTTTCGGAAATATGTGGCACAATATAGGAAAAATGAACTAATTTTACATAGAAATGCATAACAAATGTCAATCAAATGATAAGGATAGCCACTGAAACTTGGTAACTGTACACTAGGGTTGTTAGGAAAGACATAAACTAGGCCTTGACAGGTGGACAGGATTTGGATGCAAAACATAAGAATTTCAAAAGAAGCCTTTTTAAAAAATACCTGCTTGGTTTTCTGCTTACACTCTAGGTACCTTCAGTAGTCAAATTCACAGAGCGAAAGTAGAATGGTGGTTGCCGGGAGTGGAAGGAGAAAGGAATGAGAAGTGAGTGTTTAATGGGCACAGAGTTTCAGTCTGGGACAATGAAAAGTTCTGGAGATGGATGGCGGTGACAGCTGCAAAACGATGTAAATATATTTAATGTCACAGAGCTATATACCTAAAAATGGTTAAAATGATAAATGTTACGTATATTTTAGCACAATAAAAGAAAAGTGTTAGCTGGAATGGCAAGTTTCCCTTAGTGATAAGGTCAGAGAGGTAGATTCTGCTTTCTAAGGCTATACAAAATAAGTCTCATTATTTGGTTGAATGTCAGCCTCCGAATACTGCCACCTTAGCCTCTTCAGCTGATTTCTTTTTTCCAGGTCAAATGTCTCCAGTAATAATTTTACCTGGGCATTTTTCAGCACCTTGTGATCCTCTTAGTGTTTCAGGAAGGTTTTTCCTTTTCCTATTTTTTTTTTTTTTTTTTTTTTTTGGAGGCCATGGGGTTGGGAGGAGGAGAGACTACAACTCCTCTACAGGCTCCTTGAGAGCAGGGACTATTTCTTTACTTATTTAGTTTCACCTCCTTGGTGCTCAGCAAAGAGTATGGTACAAATTAGGTTCAATAAACACCTGCGGATTGAAAGAAAATACTGACCGTAAAAGCTATTAATAATGCAACCCACACGATCTCCATCACTGACAAATCCTGGCAAGGCTCACTGTCACACTTTTCCTTAAGCCTCTATAGTTATTGAGGTTTGTAAACCTAAGATCGCTTTCCCCAGGATTCTTGCACAGGGGACACAGTGACAGAAGCAACACATATTCAAAGCAATCATTTTTTCTTAATTATCTTCTAAGAGGGCCAATGAGAACGAAATGACAGGCGTCACTGCTTAAGGAGAGAGAACAGATTCCACGGTGATGCGAGCTTGAGTCTGCCCATCTCTGAGATTCAGGCGCCAACGGGAAGGGCTTAGGGGCCACGCGGGGGGGAGGCCCACAGCCCAGGGCCATCTTTATCCGGGTCGGGAGTGTGGAGGTGGAAACGGTCCCTGAGCGACCTCAGAGGGCCGAGGGCGGCGCGAAGGGAGGCCCTCGCATGCTCCGGCCCGGTTCTGACAGGCCATCATCAGGGACAGACAGTTCCCCTCCCCGCCCAAGCCGGCGCAGCCCAAAAGGAGGCGCGGCCCATGCTCAGCGCACCTTTTGCCTCTCCTTCTTCTGGCTCTCGGACTCCTCCAAGGGTGCTTCCAGCTCCATAATGTCCCCCCAGAGGAGTTTCCCAGGCATTACTGGCCACCGCCGCCTCCCTCCGGGCACAGTGGCCACAACCACCTACGGGCAGCGACAGCGTGAAAGGAAGCGGGGGCAGGGCGGCCGCCCGGCCTTAGCCGTGCGTCACTTCCGGGACACGCACCGCACGGCGGGGAAAAATAATCCCGGATACTCTCAGTTTAAGTCCTTCCATTGCGCCGCAACTTCTCAACCAATGAGTGTGAGAGATCTCAACTGTCCCACCCTTGTTATGAAGTGATTGGCTACTAGAGTAAAGCCCTGGCCAATCTCCATAAGGAAAGCACGCACTGATTAGCATAAATAGTTCGGTTTATCTTCCCCTCCCCCACTCCGAACTGGTCTTCTCGGCCCCGGAGAGTCTTTTGGGGGCTTCCCAGTGTTCACTGCTGGGGCTGGGAAGCCCTTCAACGTCGGTAGACACTGTCCGGCGCGCGGTGGCGGGTGTGTGGGCAGGTCTGCGCTGAGGCCAGTGGGCACCGCCACGCGCCGCCTCGCTATTTGCCGCCGGAAGCTGAAGCCCTCCGCCCCGCCCATTGCGGGGGAGATGTTAACGACCAACGGCTTAGCGCGAGGCCACGGGCCTGGCAACGGTGGAGACTGGCTTTGCGCAGTTTGCGGTGGGCCAGATGGGCCGGACGTGTAGCCGGGAACGGACACATGTCTGTCCCTGAAGTCTTAGGTTTTAATCGTGAAGTTGGTCCCTGGTTCATTGTGATCCTTCCCACGCTGTCCATTTGACATAAGAAGAAACTCGAGAAATGAATGTATTTGTCTGAAGTCCCACAGCCTGTTAGTGGCACAGTCAGGACCAGAGACTTCAGCTCCTGAAGCCGAGATTAGTGCTTTCTCTGCCACATCAACCTGAAAACTTTGTTTTGCAGTGTTTTGGGGAAGATGCTCCCATGAAACTACAGGAAAAACCCGAAGAAGCCTCACATTTTCTGCTAGCCGAAAGAGCCAAAATGTCTTCCACAGAGTATCTATTTGCAGTGAATAAAAAAGGATTTAATTTTAGCAATGGGGATTAACTGCCCGTGAATCACAACCTCACACAAAACTGAAACCTTTGACAATACAAAGGGTAACTTCCTTAGTGTGTTTGTATACCTTTGCTTACTATCACCGAGGCTAGCTAGTTGCCTTTTCACAGTCATTTCCTCATCTCTTCATGATCCTTTCAACCCAGCTACTCAACCCAATGGAGACACAAGGCTACTCATAAACCTCTTGATAACGTCTAGCACACCGCCTTAAAACCTAAGCATCAAACTGTGTCCCAGCAAAATTACAAATTGTTAGGTGTTGTGGATTTTGGGAATTGGTCCTGAACAGCTGGAACCACGAATGTTAAATCTGTGATTGCTTCAAGCATTCTGCATAACTACGGCTTGGCCTGAAGGCAAGGGCTATACGTTTGCATGGAACTTTATGGATTCAGTACTTACAAACACAAGGAGTGTTCAGTAATTGATGACGCAGAAAGGCACCTCTCTTCCTAGATTATTAGAATAGCTATGCATCTCTAGATCTGCGGTTTTCTACATCCTTTTATCCTAATCCCTCAATCCACTCCCAATTCTACTTTAGTAGGGTCTTTATCACCCTACAACAGGGTATGATGATGTGCATAAAAACACAGTGTAGATATGGCTAAGAATGCCGCACGTAAAATTGGGATAAAAGGAACAGATGTTATTGTCCTGTGGTTGAAGGTTAATAACAGATGAAGTAAAAGTTGAGCTCCTGAGCACTTTGGCATTCGTTTGTATGTCAGGTCCTAAGAGCGGGCCTGAAAAAAGATAGGAGTAGATTGTTCAAATCTCCGATTCAAGTGATTAACAAGTATACGAGTGTTTCAGAATGACCTTCTGTGACTTGCAACACTACAAACTCTGCCTTTCTAAGCCCTAAATTCACTGAGCCAAATCTCTGGCTGCTGTCTGGGTCAGGTGGAAAGGGCGAGTATAAACTGATGTGTCAGTAATTTGACCAAGGAGTGGCTTAGCTGAAAAAAATATGTGCCACATTACACATCTGTCTCTGGGAATATCATTTTGCCTCAATCAACTAGAAAACGTGGGAATGGGATGCAGGAATGGAGAACTTTGTTTTCTTCATATTTGCTCCCTCTGTAAATCTCAAGAGATTGTGTCTGATGAGATTTGGGGTTGGGGGGAGGCATACTGTGCATGAATAATTAAAATGCACAACAATTCAAAATACGATCTTATTAGAACATCTTTATTTTCCAAACATCTTACCAGAGTCACTGATACACTCTCTTTTACAACAGTTAAGAGTTGGGTGCTTCAATTGCTACTACTGTTACAAGGTCCTATAAAGATTTCCCTTACCCTTTGCCTCAGCTTGTTTAAACTGACCATTAAGATATAAAAAGAAAAGGGCCGGGCGCGGTGGCTTACGCCTGTAATCCCAGCACTTTGGGAGGCCAGGGCGGGCGGATCACCTCAGGTCGGGAGTTCCAAGACTAGGCTAACCAACATGGAGAAACTCCGTCTCTACTAAAAATAGGAAATTAGCCAGGCATGGTGGCACAGGCCTGTAATCCCAGCTACTCTGGAGGCTGAGGCAGGAGAATCGCTTGAACCTTGGAGGTGGAGATTGCGGCAAGCCATAATCAAGCCATTGCACTCCAGCCTGGGCTACAAGAGTGAAACTCCATTAAAAAATATATATATATATGTCTGTGTGTGTATATATATACACGTGTATATATATACATGTGTGTGTATATATATATATGATGACTATTTCCAAACTTGCCTCTCTCTAATCTTTTTAGAACTACAGGGCTAGATTAGTTTTACTCTGTAGTTAGAGAGTTGAAGGTAAAAGTCATCAAATAACCATTTTGCCTCTGCACATCAATTTTATGTGACAAGAGGAATTGAACCTTTTTTTTTTACTTTATCCCAAGCAGCTTTGTTATGAACCATCATTTTTAAATGCTGTGACATGGAAATAGTTTAAGGGGCAGTTAAAAACTGATTTAAGACACACTGGGGTCACAAAATAAGTGTTGAGTGTGGAAAAGCAGAAAGAAAGTAAAGGCAAAGAGAATAGGAGGGAAGGAGGAGGGTATTTTTACCATTGCCATGGGACCTAAACCAAGTCAGTTCTAAAATCTTGCTAGTAAAGTGAAGAGAGTAATGCTGGTAGCACAGGAAATTGGATCCGCTGATATAACAGCACCATGGAACTGAGGCACAGAGGTGCTTACATTAGCTTGAGGTTTTGACAGCATTGGAAAAGAGACATCTTTGAGCACATTTATCATATGTACATTTATGCATGTATCTAGCTCCTAAATTCAGACTTTTAAATGATTTTTTAAGTGTTTAACCTTTAGTCTCATTGTTTCTGTAGTCAATTACTTTCTGGATGTTTTCAACCAAGTAGTAGGAGAGAGGGTTTCAGAGTCATATTAGTCTTCCCAAAAGAGGGCACCATCATCCAAGTAATGTTTGGAAGGAAGCTGCTTGTGCTATAGAAAAAATGTTGCTAAGATTTCAAAGGGGAGAAAGTCCTGTAACACACCAGCAAAGTAATCATGAATTTGTCTTTGATGCCCCCATTCTTGTTTCATGACATTCACGTCTCTCTTCCCCACCCCTGTTAAGCAATAGCCTGTTTTCCCAACACCCAAAAAGCCTTAGTAGCTGTAGATAGGTTCTCAAAATACCATAGTTCCCTATCTTTTCCCTTCTACAGGCTCTTTCAATTGCTCTTTCTCATGGACTTGACACTTTGGTTTGGGGTGTGTGTGTGTGTGTGTGTGTGTGTGTGTGCGCACTGCTACGTGAAAAAAGATCTGGGGCCAGGCGCGGTGACTCACGCCTATAATCCCAGCACTTTGGGAGGTTGAGGTGGGCAGTTCACCTGAGGTCAGGAGTTCGAGACCAGCCTGGTCAACATGGTGAAACTCCATCTCTACAGAAAATATGAAAATTAGCTGGGCGTGGTGGCACTTGCCAATAATCCCAGCTACTTGGGAGGATGAGGCAGGAGAATCACTTGAACTCAGGAGGTGGAGCTTGCAGTGAGCAGAGATTGCGCCACTGCACTCCAGCCTGGGTGACAGAGTGAGACTTCATCTCAAATAAATACTAAAAAAATAAAGGAAACAAGAAAAAGGATTTGGGCCAAGGATGGTGGCTCACACCTGTATTCCCAGCACTTTGGGAGGCCGAAGCAGACAGATCACCTGAGGACAGGGGCAGGAGTTCAAGACCAGCCTGGTATGGCCGGGCGCGGTGGCTCAAGCCTGTAATCCCAGCACTTTGGGAGGCCAAAACGGGCGGATCACGAGGTCAGGAGATGGAGACCATCCTGGCTAACACTGTGAAACCCCGTCTCTACTAAAAAGTACAAAAAAAAATTAGCCGGGCAAGGTGGTGGGTGCCTGTAGTCCCAGCTACTCCGGAGGCTGAGGCAGGAGAATGGCATGAACCCGGGAGGCGGAGCTTGCAGTGAGCTGAGATCCGGCCACTGCACTCCAGCCTGGGTGGCAGACCGAGACTCCGTTTAAAAAAAAAAAAAAAAAAGACCAGCCTGGTTCAAGACCAGTCCCAGCACTTTGGGAGGCAGAGGCAGGCAGATCTCGAGGTCAGGAGTTCGAGACCATCCTGGCCAACATGGTGAAACCCCATCTCTACTAAAAATACAAAGATTAGCTGGGCATAGTGGCATGCACCTGTAGTCCCAGCTACTTGGGAGGCTGAGGCAGGAGAATCGCGTGAATCGGAGGTTGCAGAGAGCTGAGATTATGCCATTGCACTCCAGCCTGGGCAACACAGCGGGACTCTGAAAAAAAAAAATAATAAAAAGAAGATTTGAAATTTTGTAACATTTTGTCTGATAAATTGTATTTAGGGATAATTGATCCATGGTCATTATTCTAATCTAAGAATAAGATACAAATGCAGTTTAACCGCCACACCAGCATGGGATAGTGTTGCATTACTGAGCTGGTGTAATTTCAACTATTTGGAAAGGAATGATCTTCTAGCTAGCAAGGAGTTAGAGTAAGGCAAAGGAAATGAGTACAATTTATATTAGAATTTTTGAAATAATGAAAATACTTTGCAAAAAACCTAGCTATGCCAGAGATTCCTAGGAGTCTGAAATCTCAGATGAGAGGATGAATGTTATATGAATGTCTGCAATAAGCCCATATTTTGTATATTTTATTCCTACTTATAAGCTATCAACTGAAAACTTGTTAGTTAAAGGCATAATACCTCCCCGTGGCATACCTGGATTTTGATGGCAGATACATCCTATAACCTTCCCAAAGGACTAAATCTGTAATGGAGGAATTCCTGACAACCTGACAAAAACAGGGGACCTGTATAGTGGGCCATGTATTTACCTATCAAGCAAGTTTTGTCACTATAAAATATATTAAAATACATGCATATATATGTAAAATAATATTAGGTACCTCCTGCCTTGGGCATTTTTTTTTTAAGACCTGAAGCCATTCCACAGCCGTGCCCACAGTGGGGTTGCTCAGGCCTACATTGGGCACTTTTGATAGATCATCCCCAAGCCTCACCACAATCCTGTAAGGGAGACATCATTACTATCTCCCTTTTACAGACGAGAAAACCAATTCAGAGGAATCTGGTGACTTGCTCCATCACACAGCTACGAAGGATTTCGAATTGGAATTCAAACCTGTGTCCAACTCCTAAGCTCAGATCATTAAGCTGCCTCAAGACAACAGTTTTCTCGTTACAGAATAGACTGCATTAGGAAAGATAAATCAATAACTAAAGTTGTCACAAAAAGCAGTTACTACTGGGGAGAAAAATGCAGGTCAACTATTTTAGAGAATAATCTCCCATCTTTAATGTCTGTGTTATATGATAAGTTTCGTAGAAGAAAATTTTACTGGTTTCATAATGAGCTTGATTCATTTAATACATTCATTTAAAACAGGCAGAGTGTCATAATGCATCCAGTGGCAAAATTAGATGAACTTCATTAGTTGTGCAACATGGCAAAACCACATCTCCTAAAAAAACAAAACAAATTAAAAACCTTATAGTTGGAAGGATTCTTCAAAATCATATAGTTCAGCCAGCCAGTTAAACTAAGTTCTGGAAATTGCTCTGCAACATATCAGTAAAGGGATCACCAAGCCTCTGCTCGAATGCCCTAAACAATGGGAAATTCATTCTTTTTCAAAGCTGCCTACTTCATCTTCAGACAGCTTTTGTCTAATAGAAAATTCTGCCAGGCACAGTGGCTCACACCTGTAATTCCAGCACTTTGGGAGGCCCAGGTGGGAGGATTGCTTGAGGACAGGAGTTCAAGACCAGCCTGGCCAACATAGTGAGATCCTGTCTCTACAAAAAATAAAATTAGACAAGCCTGGTGGCTTACGCCTATAGTCCCAGCTACTCAGGGGCTAAAGTGGGAGGATCAGTTGAATCCAACAGGTTGAGGCTGCAGTGTGCTGTGATCACACCACTGTACTCCAGCCTGAGTGACAAAGACCCTGTCTCAAAAAAATTTTTTTTCTTTGTTAAAATACTTCTCTTTACCTCCATTCACTGGTGGTGATTCCATGCTGTAAGGCCCCCTAAAACAATACTCTCACCTCTACCTCCCCTAGAAGTCTTTTCTATTCCAGATTACCCACCTCTCTTGGTACTTGCAGCAGGGTTTACACTGTCATTGTGACAACAATTAATCTTCTCAGAATGTCAGTCAGTTGGGGTCCACTGAAAACCAGTAGTCAAGAGTGAGTGGTCTGACCACTGTAAAAGAGAGCAGTGAGAGTCATTTGCTCTTCCACAGGGACTGCACAAAGTTCTCCAGTGCTGGTCTTCTCTCTAGGCTTCATTGTTGTCAGTATGGTGAGAGTCAGACAGAGACACTCTCCAATTATTCAATCATTCACGCCTGTAATTCCAACACTTTGGAAGCTGAGGCAGGTGAATCACAAGGTCGGGAGTTCGAGACTAGCCTGGTCAACATAGTGAAACCCTGTCTCTACTAAAAATACAAAAAGTTAGCCAGGCATGGTGGTGCACACCTGTAATCCCAGCTACTCAGGAGGCTGAGGCAGGAGAATCGCTTGAATTTGGGAGGCGAAGAGGTTGCATTAAACTGAGATTACGCCATTGCACTGCCGCCCTGGCAGCAGTGCGAGACTCTGTCTCAAAAAAAAAAAAAAGAAAGAAAGAAAGAAAGAAAGGAAAAGAAAAGAAAAGAAAAAACATTACCTCAATCATCTTCTCAACATGCTGAAACCAGTCTTGATTGCTCCATGTTCCCCAAACCCAAGAGAATTGACCATTCCACTACTTGGTCTGAAAAGGTTTAACAGAGAAAATTCTAGGTCTTACCATGAGTGGAAATGGACCAAAATGCAGATGAATTGCTAAATGTCTACCAGACTCCTTCCACCTTTCTCTAAACCTCTCATTCAGAACTTCCCTTTTACTCCCAAGTCATTCGGTAACCATTCTGCTTCCCTTCTATCTCCACATTCTATCTCCACCATCTGACTTCTCACTGCCATCTACAAATCACTTGAACTCAGGAGATAGAGCTTGTAGTGAGCCGAGATGGCTCCACTGCACTCCAGCCTGGGTGACAGAGCTAGACTCCATCTCAAAAAAACCAAAAAACAAAAAGGGAAAAACATTCTGATCTGCTTGTTGCTCTGGTTGCTAAATCTTAAAAAAAAAAAAAAAAAAAAAAAAAAAAAAGGCCAGTACAGTGGCTCATGCCTGTAATCCCAGCATTTTGGGAGGCAGAGGCAGGCAGATCTCGAGGTCAGGAATTTGAGACCATCCTGGCCAACATGGTGAAACTCCATCTCTACTAAAAATAGAAAAATTAGCCAGGTGTGGTGGCATGCGCCTGTAGTCCCAGCTACTTGGGAGGCTGAGGCAAGAGAATCACTTGAACCCAGGAGGCGGAGGTTGCAGTGAGCTGAGATCGTGACTCTGCACTTCAGCCTGGCGACAGAGCAAGACTCTTGTCTCAAAAAAAAAAAAAAAAAAAAAAAAAAGGACAGTGTAATCCTCTATCCAGCTTCTGGTTGGTTTGTTCATTTTAGGAGTTGCAAGAGCATCAGGACGAGAAGGCAGAGCTGCAGAAGATCTGTGAGGAGCAGGAACAACCTCTCCAGGAAACGGGCCTGCACCTCAGCCAGTAAGAACCCCACTCCCCTCGTCTGCAACTGCAGGCACACCAGTCTACCCACCACGTCCCTCAGGCCCCAAACCTACCTCCTTTTGGCGAAAGGAGGGTGGGCCATTTAGGAGTCCAGTCCACTGTTCACAGATGAGCTCTCAGGAAGCCAGGTCTCAGAAGGACCCAGGACTGATTTCTGCTAACCATACGGGGATGTCAGTCAGCTCTTAGTTAATTCATCAAGTACGTTCATTCCTGGTGACCAGGACACTCCTATTGCTTAGCTTCATATCCAGGGCCTTAGGGAACAGATGGGCAATGAGAGGATTGCTTGGTCAGCCTACAGTCAGGCCAGAGGGAGCGTGGCTGGTTTGAGAATGGAAGCCTGGCATGGTAGAGGTGCACTCACCGGCCTTGCGCAGTACAGCCCCCTTCCTTTCGGGGAACTGGCCACTGTATCTGCCAGAGTCCATCTGTCTGCTGCAGGTGCTGATGGGATGCAGACCCTGGTAGTTCTGCTCCCCTCTGACTTGACAGCTCCCCTCCTTGGTGTCCCAGTCTAGACACGTTGCTCTGGACACCTGGGCCTTGGGGTAGATCACACTGCGGATTGTGGAACTTGTCCATTTATGTGATGAGTGCATTTTCAACAGTGGGTAGCTTTTTCTCCTTGAGTCAGGACTCATGGTTGCAAGTAACAGAAATCCAACTCAAAGTGGTTTAAGCAAAAGCAGCCATCAGGAATCGATCTCTGTCTCCTACCTCTGCTATCCTGTCTACCTCACAGATGGGTCTGGACCTTGTAGGGGCAAAACAGCACTCAGCAAAAACACCTATCAGAGGAACAAAGTCCCTCTTCTTTCTGCATAGTTCCCAAGATCACCCGAGGTTGATTCTCTGCTACCGAGTACCCATGCCTGACATAAGCATCATGACCAAGGAGATGGGGCTCACGACCTCAGCACAGCCTGGGCTCAGGTCCAGCACTGCATATATTTGACCAGAAAAGGTCCACACATGGAGACCAAAATGAGAATCAGCTCGAAACACACTAGCGTATAGATGTGTGCAGCCTTAGAATTTTTCTCACAGTCTGGAAATTTGTAGAGTCTAGTACTATTAAGAAAATAGGCCAGGCACAGTGGCTGATGCCTGTAATCCCATCACTTTGGGATACTGAGGTGGGCAGATCACCTGAGGTCAGGAGTTCGAGACCATCCTGGCCAACATGGTGAAACCCGGTCTCTACTAAAAATACAAAAATTAGCCAGGCATGGTGGCAGGCACCTGTAATCCCAGCTACTCAGGAGGCTGAGACAGCGGAATTACTTGAACCCGGGAGGCATAGATTGCAGTAAGCTGAGATTGCGCCATTGCACTCCAGCCTGGGTGACAAAAGCATCAGTCTCAAAAAAAAAAAAAAAAAAGTAGCTGGTCAAGGAATCTGATATATCTGGTGGGAATGTGGTCTGTTCACTCCCAGATGCAGGTGCTGTCCACTTGCCATCTCTCCTACGCCCCTTACCTTTCTAGACTAGCCCATGGCCACCACTCCCTCCCCTCCCACCCTCCGCCCTGCCTGCCACTGACTCAGCTGAGTGCCCTGTGCTGCTCTGGCCTGTCAACTTGCCGTGCTCTGGCCCCTGTTCCTTCCCAACCCCCAGGGAGTGAAGCAAGGCCCAGTGCCTGTCCCCATGCTTACAGCATAGGCCAGCTGTGAGGGCATCCCAAGAGCACTCACTAGAAGCAGACGTGGAACAGAGGCTGGTGTGGAGCTGGCTTCTGGGGTTTGCAGCCAGTGTTTTCCTCTTTACATTGGATGGACAGCAAGGCAGTGTCATAGGTCCCCTCCTAGTGGACCATAGACCTTGAAACTGTGGATGGTCTCTAATCTTTAAAATGTATCATTGTGGCCAGGTGTGGTGGCTCATGCCTGTAATCCCAGCGCTTTGGGAGGCTGAGGTGAGTGGATCACCTGAGGTCGGGAGTTTGAGACCAGCCTGACCGACATGGAGAAACCCCATCTCTACCAAAAATATAAAATTAGCCAGGCATGGTGGAGTGTGCCTGTAATCCCAGCTACTCAGGAGGCTGAGGCAGGAGAATTGCTGAACCTGGGAGGCAGAGGTTGCAGTGAGCCGAGATCACGCCATTGCACTCCAGCCTGAGCAACAAGAGTGAAACTCTGTCTCAGAAACAAAAAAATGTATTGTTGCACTTTGTAGCCACCTGGCGCTACTGGCTCACCTAGCTTCCGAATCCCAGTGTGAGGCTGCCTGGTCACCATTCCCTCCCAGAGAGTGCTGTGGGTATCACAGTATCAGTTGTATGCAAACCCAGACAGGGCTACCTGAGGAGTTGCTTTTGTGCTCTCTCCCCTCTTCCCTTCTTCCTCTTGCAAGCCTATACTGGATGACAGATATGGCAAAGCCTCTTCGCAGACCCTACATTAGCTTCAGGAACAGTTTTCCAGTTTCATTATCTTGGGAACATCTGGATTCTTCCTAAATTGTGTTTCCCAGAGTTCTTGTATATTCAGTTTGCCATCTTTACCTGGCTTCCCAAGGTCTGTCCATCTGGGCAACCTCTTCTGATCCTGTCAATCTGCTGGCCTATTTCCTATTTCTGTAGCCGGACCCAGAAGGGAAGGAGCTGCCTCCCAATCTTTAGTAAAAGCCACAGAGATTTTTCTAAATGCCCTTATGCTGTTTTCTAATCCCTCCCTTAGAAGTCTAGCCTGTGTTTCCCAGAGACCTGCCATTTTGTCACTTAGATTAGTCTGATGATAGTTCAGACTAATCTCAGTTTTTAAGAAAGACTCAGGCCAGGCTGGGCATGGTGGCTCACGCCTGTAATTCCAGCACTTTGGGAGGCCGAGGCAGGTGGATCACTTGAGGTCAGGAGTTCAAGACCAGCCAGGCCAATATGGTGAAACCCCATCTCTAGTACAAGTGCAAGAAAATAAGCCGGGAGTGGTGTCAGGTGCCTGTCATCCCAGCTACTTGGGAAGCTGAGGCAGGAGAATCGCTTGAACCCAGGAAGCAGAGGTTGCAGTGAGCCGAGATTATCCCACTGCACTCCAGCCTGGGCGACTCAGCGAGACTCCATCTCAAACAAAAGGAAGGAAGGAAGGAAGGAAGGAAGGAAGGAAGGAAGGAAGGAAGGAAGGAAGGAAGGAAAGAAAGAAAGAGAGAGAAAGGAAAGAGGCTCAGGCCTATAATCCCAGCACTTTGGAAGGCCGAGGCAGGCGGATCACTTGAGGTCAGGAGTTCAAGATCAGCCTGGGCAACATGGTGAAACCCTACCTCTACAAAAAATACAAAAATTAGCCAGGCATGATAGCACGCACCTGTAGTCTCAGCTACTTGGGAGGCTGAAGTGGGAGGATCACTTGAGCCCAGGAGGTCAAGGCTGCAGTGAGCCATGATTGCACCACTGCATTCCAGCCTGGGCAACAGAGCGAGACCCCATTGCCAAAAAAAAAAGGTCAGAGTGTTTCCCCAAATTGCACAAACTTCTTCATTTTATTTGGTTTAATTCTGCCCATTTAGACCATGTTCAGTCCTGTCTCTTAAGTAAACAAAAGAATTCTTCTGACACTAACAAGAATGGAGCAAGAACAAATGGGTGTGCCCTCTGAGCCTGCTCCTTCCAGACAGCAGGCAGCAGAATGGAGGCCAGGGAGAAGCCTGCAGACTCAGGTTCCTGCTGGGGAGAGCGGTAGAGACTAGCGCAGAACAGGGCCAGGTCTTGGACTTATAGCCTTAGGCCATCCTCTGGCCTCAGCCTCCCTCAAAGTGGTTTTGAGCCCCTGCAGGCTAAGCGTTGTGTTCTTGTGCCAGATGTAGTCCCAGGCTCAGCCGCAGCCCTCAGCAGACGGGAGCCAGTGTGATGAGGCGACTCTGGGATTGTACAGAGGCGGAAGGCATCTTAACAACTCATATTCTGGATCTCCTCACAAGTCCGTTATCCTCACAAAGCTAGTCATGGGAGTCAGCCGTGTTAGGGATTCAGAGCCTCACACTCTCTCACTGCTGTGAAATGGCCTTTTTTCCCATAGGTTCAAGCTGAAGATGGAAATGTAAAAGAAGTGAACCAGGCACTGAAGGTACTGGCTTGCTAAGAACCACTTCGCTGTCAGCTTGCACTGATGGGCTGTGTGCTCCTACGTTTAAGTATCCCAACAGTCAGGTGTGAGGGTGTGTGGTTGAGGCAGTGGTGGTGATGACGTATTTACAGAGAACCAAACACTGCTCAGAAATGTGCCCCTCAGCTGAGGGCGATGCTGACAGGTGGCAGGACCAAAGCTGAACCTAAGTCTTCTGACTCCAGTTCTTCTGCCATCAGCTTTGAAAATAGGCCTGATGGGTATTCTTAAAGGAGGAAGCAAGTGGCAGAGAAGAGAGACCCGCGGATATATTTTAACAGTGAAAAACAGGCTGACCGGGCGCGGTGGCTCACGCTTGTAATCCCAGCACTTTGGGAGGCTGAGGCAGGCGGATCACCAGGTCAGGAGATAGAGACCACGGTGAAACCCCATCTCTACTAAAAATACAAAACAGTTAGCCGGGCATGGTGATGGGCACCTGTAGTCCCAGCGACTAGGGAGGCTGAAGCAGGAGAATGGCGTGAACCCGGGAGGCGGAGCTTGCAGTGAGCCGAGATCGCGCCACTGCACTGCAGCCTGGGCGACAGAGTGAGACTCCGTCTCAAAAGAAAAGAGAAAAGAAAAGAAAAAAGAAAAGAAAAGAAAAACAGGCCCTTCTGTTGAAGTGAGGGCCAGAGGCCAGCCAGCCCCACTGCAGTGCTCTGTGCCTTTGCTAGGGACCACTCAAGCCAAGCCCGGAGTTGGGTCAGGTTTGCTCACCCTTATGGAGAGGGCAGAATGGCACATTCCACTGAAGAGCAGCAGCTTGCAGGTGGCCTGGTGCAGGTGCGGGTGCGAGTGCCAGGCTGAGCTGCAGGGCAGAGAGTATGGGAGAGGAGGCAGACATTCAGGGTCATGGTAGCCTGGCCTTCAAGATGGCCTTGCCTGCAGGAGCGTCCACCCTATGGCCTCAGCTGTGCCATGGCAGCAATGCAAAAGCAGTCCCTTTCCACACTCTTCCACGTGGTGCAGAGCAGGGACCCTAATGTCTCTGGGCATCTAACTTCCAAGTGCCAGGTCAGGGGCAGCAACTAACAGCAGCCTGGACTTCTAGGTAACATCAGTTTCACAGCATTAGAGGAAGGATAAAAATCATAAAACAGGACTCTAGAGCCGCCAGAGCTCTTTGATGTCAGGATGAATGTCCTGGGCACACACTGGCAGCCCCAAGGGTATGTGACTCAAGCTCAGTCATGAGGATCTGTTTGTCAGCAAGAAAATCACATCCAGCAGATGCTAACAGGTCAGAAAAGTACCTCATGCCTTTGACTTCTCTGGAATACTCCAGTCCCTAAGCCTGAATAAATCACAGGTGCTGCTTTTCTCTGAGAAAGCCCTCCCAAGAGCCACCTTTCAAAGCCTCGGCCGCCTCCCCTGTGGAATGGAGTCCGTCCGCTCCCCAGGGCTGTTCAAGAATCAGGGTTTTGGCCCGCATAGAGAAGGACTTCCTTAGGCCTGTGGGACACGGTGCCCACCGTCCATCACCTTCTGTCTCTCCACAGGGATCAGCGTCAGCAAGTGTGCCAGTCTCACTCAGATTTGGCCCTTCTCCCCCACCTGCCAGTTCAGCTAGTCACTTTGACCAGTGTCTCCGGCAGGGTCTAGGGTTGCAGGCACTAGAAGCTCACTCTGCTTACTTCAGCCAAAGGGAACTCATTGAAAGTGGGAGTGCGCCTGAGTGAGCGGATGCTGGAGACTGCCTTGAGGCCCCAGGGCAGCCTGCAGAGGCCAGGAGGTGGAGCACGGAGCTAGGACGCAGGAATCCTGGCTGTGGCTGCGGCCAGACCAGAAAAGGGCCCCTTGATGACAGTGCTGTGAAGCCACATCTGATGGAGAAAAAACAGTGCCTCACTAGGAAACAGGTGCTATGAGGGACAATGGATGCAGCCAGAACACAGCTATCCACTCATCAGGGGCTTAGACAGAAAGTAGATTCTAAAGTGTCCTTTCCTGTTCAGGGCCATGCCTGGCTGAA